ATTATTATTATTATTATTATTATTATTATTATTATTATTATTATTTATTATTATTTATTATTATTATTTTCACCTCATGAATTTCCCGACCTAGCTCATTTGAGTAAGGATGCGGTCATGCTTCAAGAGGACCACGAGAGGGCAGAAGTACACAGCTCTAAAAACAAGACCAAAAAAACCCTCAAAGATCTTGACAATTTCTACCATTTGAGATCTATGGAATCAACAGGAGAGAAGCCGCAAGTTACCGAATGCCAGAATTAAAGTTATGAAGCTTACAAGTATCGCCATGTGTCACCGTCCCTCTTCAGGGTCTTAAATAACCATCACAACTTTATTTTAGCTGGCAAAAGGTTGAGCCTGCTTTCTTCTTCTTCTTTAAAAGCTGTTTGAAATTCTAGAGTGAAGTGTTGGGGAAGAGTTTCTGGCAGATTTCAGTTTTTTTAAAAAAAAATCCACCTGGTTTTAGAAAGGCAGTACTATCCAGTGGAAATATCAGGATTATGTTACTCTGATTTACCCATGAAATAGCTGTGAAAGACGAAACGGCCCATACAAAAACTGCATTTCCTGCTGGATGGGTTCACACACCATGCTTAGGCAACACAAACTGTGGTTTGGAAATCCCTGAATCCCTGGAGGGTCAAAGAGATCCATATAAGGATCCCCCCCCTCTCTGCTTCCCTCCCTCCGTCTCTTCGTCCTCTCTCCCTCTCTCTTGTTCTCTCCTTCCTCTCTCTTCCTCTTTCCCTCTCTCTCGTTCTCTACTTCCTCTCTCCCTCTCTCTCGTTCTCTCCTTCCACTCTCCCTCCCTCTCTCATTCTTCCTCTCTCCATCTCTTATTTTCTCCTTCCTCTCTTCCTCTTTCCCTCTCTCTCCCTCTCCCTCCTCCCCTCACCCCTTTCTCTCTCACACACACACATACAATGAGAACATTGTCAAAATTTGTTCCAAGCTTAACTTCTTATTCGGTCTGCACAAGTTATTATGCCCCAAAGTTTGAGAATTCCAGTGACACAATGTTAAATAATACTTAAATGTAATTAAAACAAATTTCCGATTCTTCCTTGCCTAACCCTAACAAAATGATTAATTTGAAAATGCTCAGCTTAGCATGGTAGCGAACAGAACTTAATCCAGCTCTTAGTTCCTGGCACAAGGAAAATGAACAAATGGCAGCCCATCAGGAGAAACTCACATCATAGTAACTTAATATGGCAAGTGCTGCTGAAAATGAGCTTAACAAAGACAGATTTGAGCCATACCAAAGGTCTCCTTCCACCAGCACAGGAACTCTCCCATATAAACATTAAAACCTTCCTGCCAGCCATATCTATTACGCATATGTGTCAGGAAGATAGATCATATAATGAAAACAATCATCTATCTCTTTGTTGCAAGTAGCTGTAGTTTGCCACAGGCAGAGTTTCACTCACTTTGAATTTTTATCTGAATGAGCCTGCATTTTTCAGAATGTGGCAATGCACGTTATTAGTGAAAAGTATGCTCAGAGTAATAGAATCATACAATCATATAGTTAGAAGGGATCTTAGAGGTTATATAGCCCAGGCAGGAAACCTCACACCATCCTAGAAAAAAGGACTGCACAATTTTGTTCTTGAAATTCTCCTGGAATCAGTTCAGAGGACTAGTCACTTCCCATGAAACATCGCTTCACAACCTTACAAGTGGCTATTTTCTCTTCTACAGGTGGTCCTTCACCTTACAAGCCCTCTGTTTAGCGACCATTTGAAATTACAATGATACTAAAAAAATTGTAACTTACAACCATTCCTCATGCTTATGACCGTTGCGGCAATCCCCAAGGTCATGTGATCAAAATGAGCCGTGGTGGTGCAGTGGTTAGAGTGCAGTACTGCAGGCTACTTCTGCAGTACTGCACTCTAACTGCTGCCTGCCATTTGGTAGTTTGAATCTCACCAGGCTCAAACTTGACTCAGCCTTCCATCCTTCCAAGGTGGTAAAATGAGGGCCCAGATTGTTGGGGACAACAGGCTGACTCTGTAAACCACTTAAAGAGGGCTGCAAAGCACTGTGAAGTGGTATATAAGTCTAAGTGCTATTGCTAAGTTGAAAGAAAGGGAGGGAGGGAGGGAGGGAGGAAGGGAGGAAGGGAGGAAGGAAGGAAGGAAGGAAGGAAGGAAGGAAGGAAGGAAGGAAGGAAGGAAGGAAGGAAGGAGGAACGGGGCAGGGAGGGAAGAAAGAGGAGAGGAGCAGAGAAGGAGGGAGGAAGGAAAGAAGGAAATGGGCAGGGAAGGAGGGAGGAAGGGAGGAAGGAAATGAGATGGAGGGAGGGAGGATGGAAGGAAGGAAAGAAGGAAAGAGGAAGGAAGGAAGGAAGGAAGGAAGGAAGGAAGGAAGGAAGGAAGGAAGGAAGGGCTATGGTTGGCACAGTGGTTAGAAAGCAGCATTGCATTTGCAGACAAACTCTGCCAACTGTCAGGAGTTCAATCCTGACCAGGTCAAGATTGACTCAGCTTTCCATCCTTCCCAGGTGGGTAAAATGAGGACTCAGATTGTTGGGAGCAACAGGCTAATTCTGTAAACCGCTTGGAGAGGGCCGTAAAACACTATAAAGTGGTATATAAGTCTAAGGGCTATTGCTAGTGCTATTTGGGCACTTGTGTGTACTTACAACAGTTGTGGTGTTCATGTCATCATTATTTGGATGTTCCTAGAGGGATTCCAACAATCAGAGTCAATGGGGAAATCCAGATTTGCGTAATTACCGTTTGGTTCATTAAACAACTATAGTGATTCACATAACAATAGCCAACAGACATGTAACTTCAGGTGTGGCTCGTCTGATGACCTTTTTTAGCAACATCAATTCTGGTCCCAAGAAGGGTTGTAAGTTACCTGTATTTTCTTTCTCACATATACATTGCGAAACAGCAATTTTGTATACTTACCAAGCCAACTTCTATTTAAATACACAGAAACGAACACGGGAGGAACAGTGAAAAAATCAACCACAGAGTTTACTTCCAGCCAAAACCATAGCTTGTCGTTGGCTGCTATGAACTATAAAAGAAAGAAAAACAGACAGACAAGAATTAAATAAGTGAAATAATAAAAAGGCAAGGACAACATTTGGCATAAGTGGACCGCCAGCCATCCTTATTTTATGAAAGAGACTTCTAAGGCAGGGTTCCCCAAAGTTGGCAACTTTAAGACTTGGGGACTTCGACTCCCAGAATTCCTCAGCCAGAGGAATCCTGAGAGTTAAAGTCCCCAAGTCTTAAAGTTGCCAACTTTGGAGACCCATGTTCTAAGGAATGTCTTCACAATCTTTGGGCCCCATAGATCAGGCTGTGTTCCTCATCTGACATCTAGAATCATTTTAGAACCTGTAATGGCACCATAATAGAAGTGGCTGACTTTGACCCTGGATGCAGATCCCAAATAACAAATTAACAGAGTTGGAAGGGACTTTGTAGGTCATCTAGTCCAACCTCCCCCCC